CCACGCGACCCAGTGAAGTTTATGGTGCACTAACCACGAGATTGACAGTGTGCTTCTTGTAAGGTGGGGTACGAGAAGGAAACAACGGTTCTTACCTGGCTGTCAAATGCGGTTACAGCACGCTCCAGCATCTCTAGCTCGAGGCTACGGAGTCGCTCCGCAAGCCTCCACGGCACATCCCGGATCGTAGCCTCGCGCTTGGCACCCTGGGTCACCCGGAGCGTTTCGATCTGCATTTCGACTCGGTTTTGTAAGAGAACCGTGGCACGTAATTGGAATACGTCCCAAGCTGGGTCTCCCTCAAGGCTTTCCCGTAGCTTCGCAGTATCTAGTTCCTGCTCGTTCCAAAAGGCTTGGATCTCTCTCTTGCCATCGATCGTTTGTCTGACTTTGAAGTCTAGTCCGTCTTCTTCGTTGATTACCACGAGCCAGATGAAGTCGCTTTCCCAGTCTATTGTGTCGTCTTTCTCAAAGATGCGGAAGCCTGGTGCTGCCGTAGAGATGTGGATCTTCGCTGGTCTTAGCGGGTCATCGTCTGGAATGTCGAGATCCAAGAACATGACTTTTGCGGATGTCACTGCGTCTTCGAGGAAACCATATGAAAATATGTTCTCGCATGCTCCTTTATCGTCGCCATATCTAAACTCGTCAGCATGGCGTTTGCGGTAGTATCATTTCCACGCACGTGATTGTGATCTCGCCTCCCTGGTCGATCTTCTTACCGTCTCGTAGGAGAAGTAGTCCATTTCCGTCTTGGTCTGTCTCATAGAGTGCGGCTGTCGCATCTCCAGCTGCGTGGTTGGCCATGTCCACACAAGGCATCATACAGTCGCCGGCACCCGGAAACTCGAGCGCTCTAGATCTGTACATTGCGTCAACGCGCATCCAGTCGTCGAAGGTAAGCATGCCGGTGTCTTCATCCCACCAGTACTTTGCACACCAGTCGATAGATGCCGTGGCAGTTCGCATTGTCTCGAATTCGCGCAAAAGGCTGTTAAGCTTCGCACCAACTGCAGGTTTGAGCGTTGTCCCTATCAGAAGCTCCTTCTCTTCTTCGGTCCAAAAGGTGGGGAGCAGCTCGTCAGGGAGGAATCTGATATACTCGGTGAGAGGGTTCAGAACACCGACATGCTTGGTTTCTGGGCAGCACATGGTAGCTTGCAGCAGCAGGAATGTGAGCACAGCGCCCCTCGTCGTCTGTCAACATGTTAGTTTTGGAACTGCCTGAGCGTCCTTGGAGGTCTGTCACACCCTTCCAAAGTCTCCAATGGCTTCGATAATTTCTCGTAGATGATGATCTGATTTAGCAACAAGGTCGATGTTGTGACGAGAGATGATCAAGTCCTTTGGAACGAATATCAGAGGCTCGACATTGCCTCCTGCGAGCGTACGGTCTGCGATGACAGTCGACCCTCGATCCTCATAACCTGGCAGGGGTCCAATCTTGACGCCGTTAAACTCCACTCCATGGAAGGCCGCCCATGTGGGCAAGACATCAATTGGGTGTTTGAGCCAACCTTCGGCCCTGCCTCTCCGTATCATTGCTACTGCGGGGATGCTGGGTGACGCGAAAATGCGTTCAGAGTGTACAACAAGAACAAGACGGGCTACATGCAAAGCGTGCAGCGAGCACGATCGCGCACCGGCAATATATGGTGCAGGTCGTGTAATGTTGCCGCGAGCTATGCCTTACGATGTGGCGTCAATCAGATTGCGGGAAGCTACGTATTGGACCCTGTGGAATGATGCGCAGAAGCACAGTTGCAAGTCAGGTCAAGATGCAGGTGGTTTCCTAAGGGACCGAATCAGTGAGAGTTGGAGCTGGGATGAGCGAATCGTCGCATGAAGGTTGAGACACAAACAGGCAGTTCGCAATGTAAAAAGCAGGGAGGGCCTCACCTCAGGCCGTGTTATGGCGCGCTATGACCAGACGTCTAGAGTTGTTGTGATGGCGTCGTTGTGCGGTTCCGAAACCCTGGAGGGCACTAGCGCTAGCCCGTGCGCTAGAGTAAACAATAACAACTTGGACATGTTGACATCTTGACGTGCTTAAGACTCCAACATCCGCCGGCCACACATCTTTACAGCTATTCCTTACCCAGCGCGCTGCGAGAGAAGAATAAGGCTCTTGCGCCGACAGCTCCATACCGACCCCACGCCTACAGTACAGTTGCGCTGCGCTGCCGAGATCGCTGCTTTCGTCCGAGGTCGAGCTCGCGTCACAACACCACCGCAGCTGCCGGTCGCCCTTTCCCCAGCTAAGACAAACAATTCGAAGGTCGCACCTTCCTCACTATGTCTTCACCACGGGAGCGCGTAGCTAAGATGGCGCGCGCATCCACGACCAGCTACGGGCAGGTCATTGAGGTGAGCAGCACAGCAAGGCCAAAAGAAGGAGCCGGTTCTGATACAAATGCCACATAGTACATACAGGACCGCCTCTATCTCGCCTCGTACACGCATGCGCCCGATGCGACCACGCCATTCCCGTACCCCAAGCAGAGCCAGTCGCCGTCCAAGCGATCGTCGCGCGCGCAGGTTGGCCCGACGGCCTCAGGGCCCAAGGCGCACCCGCCCGTTTATTTCAGTATCGACAAGACGCTCCTCTACAACGCCTTCCACGGCGACTTCGGCCCGCTGCACATCGGGCACCTTTACCGGTTCGCGGTGCAGCTGCACGAGGTGCTGGGCGACCCTGCGAACGAGGAGCGGGCAGTCGTCTTCTGGAGCAATGCCGACTCGAGGAGTAAGCCCCCTCGAACCCCGCGTCGTAGGCGCACACACTGACTTGCACAGGTCGCGCGAATGCTGCGTGCATTCTGGCATGCTACATGGTGCTCATCCAGTCATGGCCGCCGCATCTTGCGCTGGCGCCCATTGCCCAGATGGACCCGCCCTGCATGCCCTTCCGCGACGCCGGCTACAGCCAGGCCGACTATGTGTTGAACATCCAGGACGTCATCTATGGCGTGTGGAAAGCCAAGGAAGAGGGGCTTTGCGGCCTCAAGGACTTCAGTCTGGAGGAGTAAGCCAATCCCGCATCGTCGCTCGGCGCCTGCTAACATGGTCAGGTACGAGAAGTTTGAGCGCGTCGACATGGGCGACTTCAACTGGGTCACGCCAAACTTCCTCGCTTTCGCGTCACCGCAGCAGCAGCCCACGCACGAGATCCCCACATCCTCGCCCGTGTACGCCACCCTCCCCTCGAACATCGCCGAGATCCAGCGATCAACCCTACCCGGGCCCTTCAAGAACGTCCTGTCGCACTTCTGCACGCGCAACGTCGGTCTCGTCGTTCGACTGAACTCGGAGCTGTACTCCTCGTCATACTTCACCAAGCTCGGCATTCAGCACCTGAACATGATCTTCGACGACGGCACCTGTCCACCTCTATCGCTCGTACGCAAGTTTGTCAACCTCGCGCACGAGATGATCACGGTGCACAAGAAGGGCATCGCTGTCCACTGCAAAGCTGGACTTGGTCGCACCGGCTGCCTCATCGGCGCGTACCTGATCTACAAGCACGGCTTTACCGCCAACGAGATCATCGCCTACATGCGCTTCATGCGCCCGGGCATGGTAGTCGGTCCTCAGCAGCATTGGCTCCACCTCAACCAGGGCACCTTCCGCGAATGGTGGCACGAGGACACGATGAAGGCCAAGTTCGCCCAAATGATGCCGTCCACGCCAACCAAGTCGCCGCACAAGCAGCGTCTCGCGAGCAACGGGCAGACCTTTACACCACCGAACGGATCGCAGAAGCGCGCTGCGCTTGGTGAGATCGAGTCGAACGAGCGCAACAACTCAGGGCACATTGGTGTACTAGAGGACAACCTGCCTGCGCCAACACCAGGCCAGCCGCGTAAGACTAGCAAGCTTTACGGCAGCAGCGTGCGACAATCGCCCCAGCGAATTGACGAGAACGAGCCTTTCACCAAATCACATACGGAGGTCAGGTCAGAGATCTCACGCTTCGACGGCGAGTCGGATGAGGAATACCACATTCGACAGATTGCACGGAGGACCTCTTCACGCTCGCCCGCACGGTCACCGGCTATGAAGAAAGAGCAGCGTCGTGCCTTCAGCACCACCTCTGTCGTCCAGACCTCGGTCATGCACACCTCTTTTGGCTTCGGCGAGGAGAGCGATCTAGAAAACACGGCGCCCGCCGGCGCTCGGCCAAAGACCCCGCGGGAGAAGAGCGGGAACGGCAGCATCAGCATGGGCAAGATACGATCGAGCCCTTCCCGACGAAGCACAGATGGCAAGAGCGGTGTACGGAAAACAAGCGGCCGTGTGGGAAGCGTTGGCAATGCCATAAGCCGCCCAAAGTCATGAGGCCTGCTCTCTGAAATTTCGAGTTCCGGTCATTCTTCAGCATCGTCGGAGTTCCTGCATGGCGCCTTGGGATCATCCTTCCTTCTCTCATCATCGTCACTTCGTCTTCCGTCTTGGTCAAATTACGCCTCGTCGACACAATCATCATGCCCTTGGGCTCGGCGCTACATATTGTTCATCTGCCGGCGGGCGTTTTGGATCACCAAAGTGTGCATACAGGTGTTGGGCTATCATTTGTTTGGGATTTTCAACTGCGGGCGCATGAGGGTGCAAATGTCTCTTCTCTCTTCCATGTCTTCTCTTTTCCAGTCATTGTCTTGCATTGCTTTACTTCTGTCTTGCGCCTTTTCTGCGGTTGTGTTAGCTGGCTGCGGATATGTTCACGACGTGTATGAGTTGATGATAAACGTAGTCTTAACTATTCACAAAACACCATTCGCCCTTCGTCTTGCTATGTAAAGTCATGTTGGCTTATTTAAAGATCATTATCCTCAGACTAATGAAGTATAAGCAAAAAGAAATGGCGCTGCTTCTTCGTGGGTAGAGAGTGAAAGCTAGTGATAAAGATATTGCCTGACACTTACTACATCGCGCATACACACAACACCCTACCTCTACCTACTAACAACAAACAAAAAGCAAACACCTCCTAGCGTACTGCTCGACCGATGTGGGAGTCGAACCCACAACCTCAGCCTTAGGAGGGCTGCGCGCTACCATTGCGCCAACCGGCCTTTTTTTAGTGTCGTGTTGCCAGTTTTCTAGGATTGGGGAAGTCATATTCATGTTGAACTGTAGAAACCAAAGATACCATAGGCTATGGTAAAGCTGCAGTCATTCCCTTCACGAATACGAGCCTTGTGCGTTTGCCAACGTGTAGAAAGCGGTAGTTTGTTGGGGGTGTTTGGAAGTTGGATGGAGAGAGGTGTTTGCGAATTTTGGCGAATTTTGGAGACAAGACTTGAGAAATTCACACCATGTGACTGCCTAAATTAACAAACCTTCATGCACGTCATACTTGCATATGCTTGGATTCAATCTTTCTCCCTCCCTGTGCTATGTAAAAGAGATCGCAGGTAGTTGTCGGAAGGGTTTATCGTGGGCCGAAAACTGACCTAGAGGAGATTTGACACAAAAAAATGACGTGATTAACAATTTTCGATCGCTTACCAATGATGGGATTCTCTCCACACAAATGACTTGATTCAATGCAATTGCTTCAGAGATGCTGTTGCAAATCGTAGTACCTGCGTTTTGGACTAGTTGACGGAGCGTTTTGATCGCTGGACCCTGAGATTTACGCTATCGTTGTTGTCGGTCAAGCTTCGGCGAAAAAGGCTCTCACTCATTATTTTGACGCATCGGTCGCTTGCTGAGGTGTGTTAACAGCGCAAAAAACCAAACGCCATGGTATGGACTCTCAGAGCCGCGCAATAAGAGTAAAGCATGTTTGCTGACTTTTTTGGCGGGGAAACAGGTGCACGCCGACTCATCGAATTTCGCAGAGGGGCAGAGCAAGAAGGCGGTTTACGCACAAGTACTCGAACAAGCGAGGTTACTTTTTGACGGGCAGAGAAATTGGGTAAGAAATGGAATCGCAAATGTGGCTTCTACTGAGATTGTATACTTTACTAATTGCACTGTAGGTCTGGTAATAAGCTGTCCTCAACCTCTTCCTCCTATATCTACTTGACAACCGTCTAGTTTTGAGCAAGCCCAAAGTAATCGGAAAGATGCTAACATTGCACAAATAGCAATTTCAGCAACACGGCAGCCCTCCTGTGGAACGCTTACCATTCTCTCCCGTTTCCCTCGGCGTCTGTTAATTGGGCGGGCTTCTACTTCACCGATCCGTCAAATCCGTCGCGACTCCTACTTGGTCCTTTCCAGGGGCAGGTAGCATGTCAGATCATTGCACTTGGCCGGGGCGTCTGTGGGACAGCAGCGAAAGAGGGACGAACGCAGTTAGTTGAAGACGTGGAGAACTTCCCGGGACACATTGCGTGTGATGGAGCGAGTCGGAGTGAGGTTGTTGTTCCTGTTGTGAAGAGTGGAAAGGTACGTTCTCCTATTTTCCGAGAGTGTAGTTTGTTGGTGGAAAAGCATGGTGATTTGGAGCAATGAGAACGCTCACAAAGGCAACGGAGGAGTGTGTGTGGATGATGGAATATATGCTAACGAGTGTGACAGGTGGTAGCCATCATCGACATCGACTGTGCGGAACTCAACGGATTCACTACTGAGGATCAGGAGGCGCTGGAGGAGTTAGCTCAACTACTTGCAGAGGCATGCGATTTCTGAGGGTGTACTGCAGAAGGTCAAAGAGGCGCAAGAAAAGTCAGCGGCGCTGTTTTCGATGTTTGATATCAGTATATCACGACGAAGGAAGAAAGGAAAGATACCAGGAAATGATTCAACATAAGTACAGGTACGAGGTGCACGGTGATCAGCAATTATGCCGGTAGACTTGACACGAATGCATGGAAGTGGCATGATGGTAAACATCTCGTAAAAGGGATCTTGGAGAATTTGATTGTTGAAAGTCAAGGCCTGTCAAGGACGGCGATCTCTACTTTTAAATGTAGCCTTATCCCACATGCACCCAGCCTCGTGCGGGGTCTCCACACCCTCACCGGAAACACAGCCACACATTATGCAAGACGAACACATCCACCTGCATATATCACATTACGCCTTGCAGCAAGGCAAAATCCACATACACCGTTAAAATAAGATAGTCCGCCGACCATGTCCGCCTTATTTGGGACTCAACTTCCTCCACTCATTCCCCCCCTTCGCTTTATTCTTTGTCCAGACGAAGCTACCGCACTCCAACAGTTCATCGACAAGTCCCAGCCTGACAGCGCTTCTCCAGTCCGGGCGTCCACTCCCAAGATGATGGGCTGAAGCCATTCCCCATCTTGCTGTCACACCTCGCCATTGACGTTGAAGTCGATGCCGATGCTAAGCTAGCGCTAGCCGTCAGAGGCCGAGTAAAGTCCACAACGACAATGGTCCCCAATGTGTTGTCATCACTAGAACCATACGAGCGCCCAGATTTGATCATGTACACCAAACACCGCTCATCGAGCACACCGGTAACACTCCTTGCATGCGATGAGCCAGACGGTAGCGGCGGGTTGATAATATCATGCAACCTTTTCGAGCAAGGGCATTGAGAAGCTGGGGGCGGCCACATGCGTATCGGCGAATGGTAGTATCGTACACTCTCCTTGTCCACGAAATCTGGTTCCCATTCATTGATACGCTCCTTGCCCTTCCGACGTGTTGAAGACTCGTAGGGATCGACCTCTCGTCGTGATCCCACGCGAAGTCTCAGGCACGGTGGTTTCGAAGGATCATCGCAGCATCGGTCGTCTTCTACGAGATCGAGGAATGAAGTGCAGGAGTAGTTGTACGCTCTGAACTTTGTTCTCGCAAGGATGAAGGATCGCGGGGACTTTTCCTCTTTCGCGAACTCGGCATGTTGACTCCAGCTATACAGATCGGGTGTAGGTTTCCAGTTAGGCTTGTTCGATGAATCCAGGAGGCCGTTGTATGGCTCGTCTTCGGGTAGAAAGGGGCCATCAATATCCGCCATAGGGGATGATGCACTGGAGGAGACGTGGTCTTTGAAGTCCAGCTTAGTGACGTAGAACGTGCGAGATTGTCTTGATGAAGCTTGAGCCCACTCGCGTCTTGATTCTAAAATCACAGTCTCGTTCGTGCTTTCATCGAGCTGCAGCACGAGATCAGTCCACGAGTCGTGGATGGGTCCTTGTCTATGCTGGCGGCGATATATATTTTCGTCTTTCTCAATCGCATCAGGTAGTGGCTGATCGAGTGGAAACCGAACCAAATGGTAGAAAGAAGTGTAGTCAATCTCCTCGACTTCAAAGGTACCTTGGTTTGACACAGCGTAGAAGTAGTGGTTGTGTATTTCAAATGCCACGGTAGATCCAATGTCTGTTCCATGGAAGTTTTCGATTAGTAACGAGCTTTCGCGTTCAGGTAGCGGGAAGTCCTTGTTCAAGGATATGCCACTTATCTCCCATTTGTGGTGTCCATCGCCACCTGTACCGGTATGCGTTCCGTAATAAAGATACCGAGAGTTGTTTCTGACAAACAGCTTCGAGCATGAGGCTAGCTGAACTGCGCTGATGACTCTGCGACCATTTGAAGGATCGGCTGTTGTGTCGATGGCAAATATGTGGCTGTCGTCCGATCCACTATCTTTCGTGACGTGGATAGCGAGTATCCCATGGCTATAATTAAGGAAAGATACTCTTAGGTCACCAAATGCTGCGAACGCCGACCCTAGTATAGGTCGAAGAATTGTCTTGAGATCAAGCTGAATGGGGTCGGAATGCGAGTGCACATCCGAGACACGGACCATGTCACCGTCGAGCACGCATATCGTTCCTTGACGATACAGAAAGGTATTCCCCTGACCCAAGATACGTGTCGAAAAAGGATATGCAGTTGACAAAGCATGTCTCCTGTCGTATATAGCCTGGAATGCTTGTTTGTAGGATATTTTTTCTACTTGTGCTAGTTGAGCCTCTTCGGTATGTGAATAGCCGACCTATAAGCAGCGTTAGTCTTGCTCATAAGCGTGATGACTGTGCATTTTTATACCTCGACAGTGCGCCTGCAAAGTGTTCTTTCGTCCAGCAATGCTTTTAACTGGCGACATGTCTGGCTAAGGTGGACGATGTCTTCTAGGTTCAAGTTCGAAGCAATGCAAAATAGAATATCGAAAGGAAGTTGATCGGGAGAGGTAGTCATGAAATTCGAAAGAATCTCGTAGATGAGCAGGAACAAGGCGAATTGGACACGTGGGCCAAAGTGTAGGGTCCAATAGGATTGAGACCGAAGAGGAAATTGTAATGGTTTGTATATCGAAGATTGGCGGCTCAGTTTAACAAGTGGCGGCGCTGATCAGCTGGAAGTTGCTTCGCGAAAAGCATATAGCAGGCACGGGTGCGGTTCAAATGGTTGCTTCGGAAGCAGAGCCGCATGATTCAAAACCCGTAGCGCTGACCAAACTAGTACAATTGCATTACTGCAAGGATAATGCCAGTATTATCGTATAGTTACACTTAACATTCCTACACTCGGCGTCCATCAGGCTGAGAAACTGTTGGATAGACTTAATGTCACCGTTTGCGGGGTGGGTGAGGCTCTGCAGGACACTTGGGCCAATCGTGCCTGAAAAGCTCATACTAATCATGACGCTGAGATGAAATGTTGAGTAAGTTTAATCTTTGGTTGATGGCGATGACGCAATGAGTAACATGCCACCAGGGCCCAGCTGACTTCAAAAACGTCAATAGAATGAGGCTCTAATCATCTAGACCGAAACTTATATTTTTCAAATCGAAGCTAGCAGATAGCAAGCAACGGGTGTGTTCGTGCTTTGCCCCGCTCATAGAGTGCTGACGTTTCACCCTCCTGTCTTCTAGACTCATCCTTTCGCCAGCCCTTGTCCAACGTCCTTCATAATCTTGCATCTTAGCTCTGCTCAGCCTCGCGTTTTGGGAGTCCTGACCCACCAGAGCAGTCTATCATGTAGCCTGATTTCACTGCATGCAGTCCTAAGCCCCTACTCTTTACCCAATTATGTGCTACGCCCTTTGCCCTGTTCTTGAGTGGAGTTGGACTTGAAAACTTGACTAAGGTCCGAAAATTCGACGGATAAGATGACGATCGGGGATGCGGGTGGTTCTGTCGT